GTGTGTGTGTGTGTGTGTGTGTGTGTGTGTGTGTGTGTGTGTGTGTGTGTGTGCGTGTGTGTGTGAGCGTGTGTGTGTGTGTGTGTGTGTGTGTGTGTGTGTGTGCGCGCGCGTGTATGTGTATGTGTATGTGTGTGTGTGTGTGTGTGTGTGTGTGTGTGTGTGTGTGTGTGTGTGTGTGTGTGTGTGTGTGTGTGTGTGTGTGTGTGTGTGTGTGTGTGTGTGTGTAACCAAGCTACATCTATCCATACTATATTCTACATATTTATATAATCTTCCATATTTGTCACCTACGTATCTTTACACATACATATACATATGCATAAACGCCTGACCTGGTTAACCTGCTTATTTCTCTCTTCTCGTCACGCTAGACATTCCCATGTGTGTCTATCCCGCAAGAGCTATGTATTGATGTAACGCTTGCTTGTTCGTCACCGGCCGTCACATGCCAACAACGTGACTTATCGCGATCAAAGCCTCTATAGTCTTTGCTCGCGATCCTTAGACCACTGTATAGGAGATGAGGCAGAATCCCTGCGGGGAGTTAAGGAGCAACAACTCGCACCGAGCAGCAGCCACACTCCAATATCACTATTCAGTAGAGGAGTCAAAGACATCTTGGTTGTCTACTTTACACCCTAAGCTCGCCATCTACCCATTCTTGTAGGGTCTATCATTCGGGCTCCTACAGTGTGTGTGTGTGTGTGTGTGTGTGTGTGTGTGTGTGTGTGTGTGTGTGTGTGTGTGTGTGTGTGTGTGTGTGTGTGTGTGTGTGTGTGTGTGTGTGTGTGTGTGTGTGTGTGCGCGCGCGCGCGCGCATAGTCTACATACTCATTTGAATAAGATTAATTTTGTTTATAACCTTCTGTGCTAAAATGAATAAATTAAACAATGTAAATATGACAGTTCATAATTAGTAGATTTTAAAGTTATGTGGTCTCTTGGGATTATTCCGTAATTTATTACATCAGGTGTAATATACAAATCACAGCTGAGTATAGCGAGTTAAAGGAGAATATCAGAAAAGCCGAACAATCAAATGGCCACAAATAAACTAGATAAATATAGCTTGCCCCCTGCTTACTATCTTTTGTATAGTAGAGATATTTCTTGGGAAAATAACAGTTTCTGTAAAACTCGGTGAGGATAAACGGGTAAGAGTAAAAATAAAATTTGTTTGAGGCAACAAATAAGTTAATACGCTTCTCTTGCCAAATGACATAACTTATATTAACCAGAGCCACGCAGGAAATGCTATCACCTTGCTTTGATAACAAGGCTAAAAGAATAACCATACAAAGCAAAGTAAGCGAACTCCCTGTAACACGAGACATTCGCCCTTCGCTGACGCTATTTCCAACTAATGCTAGTCAGATTTCTAGCCACAAAAAGCGCAGCCGTTTTTTTTTTTTTTTTTATGGTGCATCTGATGTACCTCTGTTACACTTGGTACTCCCATACTGCACGCTTTAGCCTTTTCCTCTTTTCTCTCTTCGGGTGCAATGCAATCTTTCTAATTTCAGTATCAAACCATTCTTCTCCTTTCAGTGTTAAACCAAACTCTTTTGAACTCCCCTTAAGAGTTCCCTATCAATCAATTCTGTGGCTTTGCTCGAATTCTGTTATCTGCAGTCAAGACCGATTTGCTCCAACCTTACGCCGTAGCTGATTAAATTCTGATTTCTATCTATCGTAAACCCATATTCCTTTATAATATGGCGTCCAGCTCAAGACATGCTATTATGATCGCAGTTGTCCATTTTCCTGAATCATATACCGTCCTCAACGTTATCACCTTTTTTTAGTCCCACTCCTATCGTCATACTACTCGCATCACACCACACGGTCCTCTCTGACTGAGGAGCATATCATTTTCTTATAACATACTTTCTGTATGACGTTTTGCACCGTAGAGACAGTCTCTTTTCAGCTCTCCTCTTAATGTAACTGACAGCTATTCAAAGCCGTCCTTGCAAAAGGATGAAGACCTACGAAGTTTCCACAAACCTGCTCGAGTTTTCTCTTCTGGACTCATTACGTCTCCATCGACTCTCGTCACTACTTCAGACAATGCAGCTACCGATTCACCCACTAATATATCCAATATATGAACTCGTGGCCTTTTATCAGTGCTGTCCAGAGAATCTTCGTCATAATGCTTGGTACCGAAAACAATTCGAAATGCAACTTCGTCTGACATTGTTTTCCATTTCCATTTCATTTGCTGGTGTTTCCTTAGCTCCTCTGTTATATGGATTTGAAGATCAGCGGATTTCAAAGTAACACTGGAAGATGCCCCCACCTATCTGTCCCCATGTTCTCTTGCCACAGAAATCGGTAAATTTATCTCAGGTATGACACGCCAGGTAGGTATACAGGTCGTTATGCTATTCGTCGTTGGCTGAACTATTATTGAGACCACTACACTGTCAATTTCTACAAACCAAGGCACCAAAATATCCTCATTAGATCTATCACTCTACCTCTTCTTCTTAGTGTTCTATTATGTCCTTGTTCATTAGACTCTCATATCTAATATGGTTCTTCAACACTGGCTAAGTCCTTGCAAGAACTACTATCCTACCCACTTTAACATCATATTCTTCGACAAAATCCTAACTTCAATCTAGCAGAATTCAGCCCCATATTCATTACCTTTATTTGCCGTCATCACATGCTGCCTTATAGTCTAAGATGCCATGCACTTTTTCTCTCTGACCCCATTGTGTCTCCGTCGCGGCAACAAAAATATATTTCCAAACATTACTCTCCCACTCACGAATTTAATGTCAGTTGACTGACCACACCCATACCCATGACTACCTCAAAATCCATTTACCACTTTTTCAGTCGTATCCCTTTTACTGTTACCTTTAATGAGCTGCTACGCACACCTAATTTCTCTTCCGTCTACTGCTACTTGGCTTGGGAGTACATTTATTCGACTAAGGGGATAGCTAACTGCGCATCCCCCCCTTTTCTTAACACCTTTCCCTCATGGCAACGGCTACATATATACGCTGCTTTTCCACATAATTATAAAATTATATCTCCCTTAATTCTCGAAAATCTCATTACATGTGAAGGGCACAACACCTAAAGCAACGACCTGAACGTACGCATCTCATTTCTCTTGCTCCATTGCTCATGCTGATACTCTTGTAGCAATTTCAGCAGCAGTCACTACTTACTGCACTCTGCCCTTCATCTGTTGTAACATCGATATTCTTGCCTGGGAACCCGGTTACAAAAGCTAGATTTCCAGCTTTCTCCCAGCCCCATTCCATTTAGCTAGTACCACTACTTTCCTTACAGCATTACAAAAATATCCATCGCCTCTCCCATTCACCTCTTTAATCTTACTTATATTCTTACATTCCCATGCAAGAGCCTTTCAATCTACTGCCTACCTTTTCAACATTTCTTTGATCACACTCAAGCATCACGAAGTACAGTATCAATGCATCACCTTCCAAAATACAGGCATCAAGTCAATCTGTCCCTTCTTTAACACATTCTTTTCCTTTTTCCAGCCACGGTTCCTATGAGCGTAGTTGACTTGAGAGGTGGTAATGATAATAATGATAAATGGGAAAACTAAAAGAAAAACAACTCCTCACCTTGAAGCAGCAGGCTCATTGGGTTGATGAGCGTCGCCTACAGGCTCGAGTCGGTTCATTGATTCATTCATTCGCTTCAGTGGCTCAAATTGCACGCATTACAGACCCCCCCCTCTCTCTCTCTCTCTCTCTCTCTCTCTCTCTCTCTCTCTCTCTCTCTCTCTCTCTCTCTCTCTCTCTCTCTCTCTCTCTCTCTCTCTCTCTCTCTCTCTCTCTCTCTCTCTCTCTCTCTCTCTCTCTCTCTCTCTCTCTCTCTCTCTCTCTCTCTCTCTCTCTCTCTCACACACACACGCACACACACGCACGCACACACGCACACGCACACACGCACACACACGCACGCACGCACGCACGCACGCACACACACACACACACACACACACACACACACACACACACACACACACACACACACACACACGCACACACACACGCACACACACACACACACACACACACACACACACACACACACACACACACACACACACACACACACACACACATTTTTCTTTATTTTTAATTCATTAATTTTTCAAACCCATGTTCCAGCCAAGTGCCTCTACGTAGTTACGCCCTTGGTTAAGATAAGAGGTCGTTCACATTCTACGATTTTTCTTGTGGATGATATTTTACCTCACTTTTCTGTCTAGTATTTTTTTTTCTGGAATTATTTAAATAATTCGATTTTCATACATTTTATACAATCAGGATGTAATCACCATTAAGCCTAGCAAGGTGTACTTTAGTTTACTGTGGTTAATCGATGTAAAAATGAGAAAAAATGCCTTGAATAACAGATGAGTGTATGCTTTGTCCTTTCATTTTTGCTAATATTTACATAAATCTAAATTACACTCATTGGCACTCACTTTGTTTATAGGTTCCATACTATCATATATTTTCATTCCTTAATTTTTTGCTATGAAGCTTTCACAATACTTAATTAGATGACAATGTACTTATCATTGCATGGTAACTTTCATTATCTATTTAGAATTCAGCTGTACTTCATATTTTTTTATGTGGTTCTCATTCACCTTTATTAATAATGTTTTTTTATATGAACAATTCCATTTTATCAGCTGTTTTCTTTCTCCATCACAGTGATTCTTCATGTAGACATTCTAATATCAATCAGATGTTTTCTTACACATTTTCACTAAAGCTATCATTGCAAGGATTGTAAAGCTTATCCAGTTATATCAAGGGTTTAAAATAATCCATATTATAATCAATGCTAGATGTAAAGGCTTAATTTTAACATTGAAGTTCTGCAAGTTCTACTAATTAGAATAATAGTCTAATTAATTATTATCCTCTTATGATTACTAACTTGGGTACTTGCTATAATTAAGGGTAAATGAAAAAGATACGGGAAAAAATCTCTTTTTTTATCAGACTCATACTGTATACATAATCCTTTAGTGACAAAGGATGTAAAAAGATGGAACTGTGTTTTGTCTTTGAACACAAAAAATAAATAAAAACAATTTACAATGATTGAAAGACTATACATTATTTACAATTTAAAGTTAATCCATATACTGAGAAAACATCTTAAAATAGAAGATCCATACAAATGAAAAATAAGCTGAACACTTTGTGCCTCAATACATATCTAATGATGAACTTTGAAATGATGACAATTTTTTTAAAAAGAGAGGAAACTGCATTACACTATTTGATTTAATATTATTACCTTTTTTTTTTTTTAGTGAGCCAAGCGGTCTAGTGGGCTAGGTGATCTGCAAGACCACGAATAAGCCCTAAGAAAATTAATGTCCGTCAATTAGGGGGGAAAAGCCATTTGCAAATCTTGCCTCTTGTTCGACTTGAGAAGCAGATGCCTTGAGGTGTAGAGGGTCAACTGGCAGCTGGACTTGGGTCATCCTGGATTTTTAAACTGATGCAGGAACAGCAGAAATATGGAGGCACCAAACTCAACACAGGGTGGGGGCAGGGCTTGCAACATGACAAAAGATTACACTACAGTTTCCCTGAGCTGTGTGTGTCATCCCACCAGTGCAGGTAGTTACACTCTTGTAGTACGAGATATAACAACACTGACTGTAAAATTTAAACAAGTTTACTTTGTACTTACTTCCCAAAGGTTCAGTACAGGTATTTAATTACAAAAAAGTAATATATATACCATTATAACAGGTTCATGTAACTCCACAAAATATAAAGGAAAGTGTGGTTATTATGGTACACAATCCTCTGTCAAGCATTAACTACCGAACATCTTCACATGCGTAAAAGCACCTATGGACTAGTGTTCAATACTTTGAAACATTCACATGAGATCTTTTTATTTCTTCTTATATATCATAAACCAGCTGGCTCATTTTATATACATTAAATATTGCAATACGTAAATTACACCACAAAGTAATGCCATTCTTAACAACTAATCATGTAATCCTATCTTTTGTGGGGCATAACCCTTACAAATCCTGTAGTGGCAGTGAGAGTAGTTCTTAGGACATAATAAAAGCATGAGCACAGCTATGGTACCCACTGCAACTTTGCTGGCCTTTAACATACAGCCCAAGAGAAAATAAAAGACATGGAAAAGAAAAAAGAAAAAGATAGAGGGAGAGAGAGAAAAACTGAATAAGAAAATGAAAATCAGATTTACACACAAAGCTCAAATGATCTTTCTTGTCCTTTCCGATATACTTAAGAACATTCACACTCACTGTTGCAAGTGCTCTACATTCACACGATAATGAAAGACATATTTTTTATATACATTTTCTTCATTTTATCATTTTTAGATATTTTTCCTTAAGTCTAAGCTTCTCACTTTGTATCTTGTAAAAGGAAATAAGAAAAGAGAAAAAAATACATATATTGCAGAGCATCAGGAAATTGTGTTGGGTTGACAAAAAAAAAATTGTGACATACAGTATGGTGATCAGTTCTATTGGTACATTCTCAGGGGGAAAAGACAGTGAGAAGACAATACAGTGATCCTAACAGTGAATAAATCCATCCACCTGTATTAAAGGATTAGATTTTTTTATTTTTTATTATTTTTTCTTGTATAAGATGATGCAACATTATAACTGGGAAGAACTCTTAATAACTTTGACTATAACCGTTAAAATAGTTACTCCTTTTCTCTTTTTTTTTATTGGCATTTTAGTAATATTCATATTTATGCAGTGCTACTTAAGGAACCTAGTAGTCTAAAAGTAAACTCAGAATCATAAGCCGAAAATACCTTTTTTTTTTCTTTCTCTATTTTTGCTTTAACCTTTGTATGCATTTTAAGATTTACATACATGAAATAAACTGAACACCACAACTTCTCAGTAACCACAAAATAACATAAAATAATAAAGGGGTAAAAGTTGCTCTTCAATGTTCTTAATCTGTGATCTTTGCAGCTGATGTCATAATCATAATAAACAACTATTATTTACTTCTGTCTACTATTTGTTTAATATAGCAGGAAAGTATATCTCAGACAAAAAGAGAATAAATCTTCCACATACATATAATAAACAGTTATGTATCATCAAAACATTGCATGACATCTTCCTTAATTACCTACATAAGATCAGAAACTTTGTGTATGTTCTTGGCATACACTATCTATCTTTGGGGCTTCACAGCATAGTATTTTATCCTGACTTTTTACTGATTCAAAGAACAAGGTTTACCCCTTTTCACAGCCTGTTCAGGTTTAGCACTTGCGGTTGTTTACTGCACGGGAAAATTTGGCAGGAGTCATCATGTCGCAACGCCTGGATCTCTTGTTTCCTGCGCTAGCTACTTCTCTTACTTTGTTGGAGCGTTCAAGATGCTTTGCTTTCAGGCGTCTCTCCTCCCTCCTACGCTGGGCCTGTCAAGAATATATATTCTA